AAAAGAAAGAATTTTAAAGACAGCGAACAGTTTTTAACATCTCAGAGAAAACCCATATTGAACTTTTGATATCGATTTCAAAACTGAAAAATAGTTTAATTACTGCATTAGAATTCTACTTCTTTTATTTTAGAAACGACGGTTACCTTGACGACAATTACCTTACAAAGAGAAATGAAGAATAGTTAGCTGGAGTAAAGGAAAGGAAAACAGAGCAACATTTACAACAGGTTGTCGTAAACATATCCTACACATGATTATGCAGTTTTGTGAAAAATGGTTAGTTATCGAGCTGAAGAGGAATTAAGAAAATTCTGCTTTCAGAAACCGATATGGTGAAGAAAGATAAGACATGAATGGGAAGGTTTCTCTCTTTGGTATACAGAAAAGTGAAGAAATTTGCATTATTTGAATTGTAGAGCAATCAACAGATATTCAGCGAAGATGTTTTATAAAAATAATTTTCTGTGTCTTATTATTAGTACAAAGAGGCTTTGTCCCTGAGGGACTATTGTTTTCGATTTGCCATTTTGCGTCGAAATCTTTAAAAAGCTGTATCACGTTTCAAACTGTTGCTACCAAATATTATCGCCCCGCATTATATTTGAAGAAATTAAATAATGAAGAATATGCATGTATGTATGTATATTTCTCGCATTGTGATAAAACAACGGTACCTACAGCCATCCAATTTTGAATGACGTAATCCGACTGCGAATATTGGCATTTGGAAGCCCAAATTTGTTGTTTTATTATCGATTTCATATTTTGTAAAACTTTAACGAATTTCTGATTAACAAACTCAACGATTTCAAAGCGAGTAATGGCAACGTTGTACAGAAAAAACATTTTTATCTCCAGCGTGTGAGACTGTGTTTCGGAAATTCTAAAGTTATGCTCAATTTAAAATTATTTTGCGATATTGCTCTTGAACTGAATTTTATGGTTTAAATGCGAAGAACATGATAGTTAATAAAAAGATGGTAATTAGGTATAAGACAGGGAGCTGACATATGTTTAAGTTTTGCTTTTTTTGGTATTGCAGTTCAATTTAGTCAACAAAAAGGATTAGCTTAGAAGATGACTTTTTTTGTCTTTTGCAAATATTAAAAAAATATCCAGTTTTGTATTTTGTACTACTAAACCATTCCTTTCCAATTTTTTGCAGAAATTATTCAGAAGATAATTTTTTGTTGCACTCATTCTATGCAGGTTATTCGTAACATAAGTTACATGCTTATTGATTTTAAACATGCATTTCCAAGTACATATTCTCAAACATGCGTATTCGTCCAGCATATTCTCAAAATAATGCCACAATTTTTAGGAAAACAGTTTCAATACTACTGGTGAGAGAGATTTCCTAAATACAAAATATAACATTTTATATGACCCTAAAGAATGAAATTTCCACTCAGTGAAAGAATTATTATACTTTAATAAGCGTACTCCTTCAGGGATCATATAAAAATTCAATTTTATAATTAAACGCCAAGGTGTTGAGATTTTTTCATATAAGTATTTTTGCATTATTTTTAGAAATTAGGTGACTGGAAATACTGTCTAGGATTAATACTTTAAGGAAAAAGAGTCTGCGGCCACGCTTTTGAAGATCGAGTAGCTTCAATGCATGGAATCATTGATGAAGGAAATCTCATAGTTACTGAAATGAGACATTTACGAAAAGTTAACACAATACTAAATACCCGGAAATAAAGGTATTTCAGAAATATGTGGCTATTTCTTTTTGATTCACTAATAGCTGAGAAGTAGAATTAAAATAATGTTATACCAAATACGTTACAAGTTTTGACATTCTTTAATAAACTTTGTAACAAATATTCCTTATTATAATAGTCTACATTTCTTCTAAAGGTGTTCCATTCCTGTTATTTCTTTTTTAAAGGAATTAATATAAACATTCAAAAGAATGGATATTTTAATTAAATGGAAAGCTTTCATTCTAGTACAACAGACAGTGCTTATTACAAGAAAGAGTTAATCTATGCCCAAGGCCAACCGAGAAGAGAGATGCATTTGCTATAATTGTATGAAATAATAATCGAATTTACCTAACATACCTGTATACAGATAATTAGCTATCATAATTTCTTATGCTTGTTGAGTAAATAAAATATTTTTCATCTTTACGTGGCGTACAATATATAGAACAGAATATTAAAACATGTTACTACCGAATATTTTAAAGAAAGATAACCTGGAAAATAAAAATACTGTAGCAGAGCTACGACAATGCTAAAAACACACACCTGGCTTTTAAAATAGTCTTGAAAACCGCTTTGAACAACACAGCTGCTTTCAGGAAATAATTCCCAATACAAATTGGTCTGTAAACTGATTTAAAATGCAGTAACAAAATGCCGTACGCATCTAACTATTTTTTTTTTAATAAATCAAATGCTTTCATTTTTTTTCGCATGTATTCATTAATAAAACGTATTATAAAACAATAGAAAATCATCAAGTTATAAAGTTATCAAATAAAATGCAGTAAAAAAATGCCGTACGCATCTAACTATTTTTTTAAATAAATCAAATGCTTTTATTTTTTCTCCGCATGTATTCATTAATAAAACGCATTATAAAACAATACCAAAATCATCAAGTTATAAAGTTATCAAATACAAGCTTATTGCGGATTATGTTGATATTAAAGCAACATTTAACAAACTATGAAAAAATGCAACTGAGATTAGGTTGTTTGATTCCGGCAAAGCACAAAGAGCTATCTGCCTAAGAAGAAAGATGCCTTCGTGGAGAATTTCTAAGTGAAATTGGATCGTATTTACGTTACACATGGGAACCCCAACCATACAGCCAGCTCGCTCGCCTGGTTCGAACTCGATATAAACTACCAGTATTTAGCAGTCCTTAACCTCTTGGCTACTAGCGGAGAAAAAATGCAACTGAGAAGCCGTTTTCTCGAGTAAACACATATACTTGTTGGAATGGACACTTTAAAGTTTTTTATTAATATGCGTTTGGAAAAATTTTGAATTGAAATAAATGCTGTTGGTAGCTCATTAAAATTATAAATTCAATATTTACAACAATGTCATTATCTGATAGCATAAGCAATTTTATAAAATATATGTATACCTATTTCAAAGAGTTTGAAAATTATGATCGAAGTATAATTACGGTCATATATATATATGAAATTAACAATGAGATTACAGTTAGTTGAAAGGATTGGTTTGGTTTATGTGATTACGGCAAAGCCTCGAGGGCCATCTGCCAAAGGGGTGCCTTCATAGAGGACTTCGTAAGAGAAACTGGCTCCCCCCCTTTCATAAAGATAATGATAATTCATATTCAGAACTAAAGTAATGTTTCAGTGTTAAATTTATACATTTGTAGTTTCCATTTCTTACCCTCATTTGCGTACAGTAATTTACGATACGTAAAAAAGATATATTTATTTACTGGTTCAACCAACGCTTTGAATCAAGCTTTTACTGTAGGGTTTTCTTTATTCTGCATAACAAATTTATTTTAAGTTTGATTTCCTGTTATAAACTTCTCAACTTCCCCTCACATTCTCTCGCCAGGCTGTAAATTTAAAGTTAAGTGAAGTGATATTTAAACGTGTGATTATCTCAGTTTATTCAGAGCGTGTTTCGCTAGCCAAGCGACGTTTCGTTGTATTTCGCGGTCACGCTAGTAAGTCTTTGGCCTATCAGATTGTATCACGCCGTTAGATTTCTGTGAGTCCACCTCTTAGGCGTAAACTTAAGTGCGTCTTGCAATATTTATTAGTTTTGACGATTATATTCTACTTTTAGTTCCCACCACAAGTGGACGGTGTTTGTAACGCACGAAGTCCGTGCCCTTCTGTTAAATTAGTTTGAATTAATAAAGGGTTATTTTTCACCCTTCTTCTGTGCTGGTAATTTATTCACGCCTGTGCTAGAATTCGCCAGATACATTGTAGGATATAATTTAGTTTATGTGGACTTAGACAGTCTTACAGCACTATCTGGGCAACGAATCATATTCAGTGTATGGAAGGTGTAGTTAGTATGACAGACATCACAAACTCTAATTTCTTTAAATTGCAAGTAAAAAAATATTAGTTCATGTTACCTTTCTTTATTTTAACATTATTTATAGTTGTTTTGTCACTACTGTACATTGTACAAAATGTTTTGATCTGCAAGTCGTTGTAGTACAAGTTTTAGATTACAGCCTTAAAACAGATTAATTAGTTTTAATTTATTTTATTGTAATTTTGAATATATTTTATTTCTGTCAATCGCGAAAATAGTTAGGAAAGAGACTTATATAATTTAGGCGAATCTAAAACAGACATTTACCTATCCTGAAAATATAATTTACATTTTTGACATTTACATAAATGTTTTTAAAGACATTAATAACAAAAATAAATGTAAGACATTTAAAAACTATTTTTTAATGGTTTTCGTGAATTTTCCTTCAATAACAGTAAAATAGATGCACCTAGAGTTTCAAACACTAATATCTAATTTCTGCGAGTCGTAATTACAGCTGTCTGACGAGGGAGAATGAAAGCAATATCATTTCTCATTTTTACGATTTTTTCCTTATTACTCTATTGAACAGCCATTACGAGTCGAATCCTTAAAATTTCACCTTGTAGAGATAGTAGGTTATTTCGAATCAGAAGAGATGAAAAATGAGCAATGCCCTCGCCGGGACTCGAACCACGGACCTCTCGAATACGCGTCGAGCGTGCTGACCACCACACCACGAAGGCATGCTAAGAAGGCGGGAAAAATACATTATAACCTAATCAAGAAATCAGATACATTGATGTGCCTTAATCTTTATGCGTTGCTCGAATGTCTGTTAGCATGTGTATACGAGCCATCTTTCCTCAAAGTCCTCCACGAAGAGTTCATCCCTTCCCTTACGCAGATAGCCTTAGAGTGCTTTACCATAATTACATAAATCAAATCAGCCCTTATAGGTTAGCATCACTAAGGCAGAAAATTTACCCATTCGAGTGATTTTTCGTCATCATCTTGCTCTTTCTTTTCCTTTCTTTCTGATTTTGGTGTCGGAGGAACAATCTTCTGGGCGATTTTAGGAGATTCTCCCGCTTTGATATTTCTGTTCGCGTTCTCTTCATTGTGAATGTCCACTTGTATGAGCCCATTTGGTTTGTTGTTTTCTGGAAAAAAAATTTCAAAAATTGAAGACAAAACGTGTAACAGATAAACAAGCACAAAAATAATATCACATAAAATTACTAATATCTCATCTTAATTTTTAGACTCCAGTTTTAATAAGAAAAAAAAAATCTTGAACGGAATTGTTCAAGATTAATTTTTAATACTGTTGCGTGTGTACGTGTTCGCAATAGATTAAATGCACACAGGTCCGATGACTGATTGATAAAATTTATTTTATCAAAAGAAACATTTCGGACACAGAATATAGTTTATGTTTTGTTAGCTAAATGATATTATTATTTAAATATATTATTTCTGGTGCTTCACATTAGTTTTGCCCTGCAATAAATGTAAAGAACGCGCGCTTTTTGATGTCATTACTAAAAATTCGTGGACAACATACATATGAACCGAGTCGACCCGTTAACTTTCCTTTCGTGATTGGACAAAAAGCATTTAGACAAACTTTCAGTTTTATGTGTTTTTAAAAATAAGTTTAATAAAAATATTCGTATTATTTTGAGACAAGACACTCAGTTATTTATTATGTACCGAAAGTATTCTATAAAATCTAAAATAAAATCATAGCGAAGACAGGATAACTTTCAAACAATGGTTTTGTTAGCAAAAAACAGGAATTGACTGCTGTCCATGCAACGTGACTAACGTCACGAGCATTTGAAGAAGAGTCATGATTTAACCATTTCAGTGCAAAAGAGACTATTTGCTTTAGTGCGCTCGTGATCTGTATTCCGTTTTGTTTCAGAAAATTCTTTACTAACGAATGCAATAGGTGGCGCTATTGCACCAGTGGAAGCGGCATCTTCAGGACACTTAAAAAAACAATGAAAGAGACAGAAAAAAAATAAAATATTTCGGACTGTTGTTTGCAACTATAGCCATTGCGTCGAACCTTGATTTGACAAATATCACATTTTTAAACCTTTTGGCATATACACGTTTAATTCAAAATATTGAAAGCAATAACTTTTTAATTACTACTATGTGTTTGTAGATAATGGTGTTAGAGTTGGGAAAAGAAGTTTAATCATCTTAAAGTATGAAGGCAAAGCCCACAGCAAATGAGCAAAAATAGTTACGAAGTTCGATTTGATATTCTGCAGCTGTATTGGGCTGTAGCTTTACAGTTAATTGCCGATAAAGAAGGGAGACCATTGTTTATGTCTTTCAAAATTTATTAAACCTTTTTCAGTTGATATTAATGCCAAAAACATTGAATTTTCTTAATATTTCTTTTAGCACATAACTTGCTTTTAAGAAGAGCGATAAGTTAAGTACCACGTATGTACAGTAAATATATCATATATTATAGGTATCGAAAGTACAGATCGCTTGAGAATTTGACGCAAGATTAGCATTTAGTATAACTGTAAAATTTCTTAATTTTTATGTGTTTAGAAAGCGTGACAAATATAAAACTAAAGATGCAAAGCATAATTCTTCACGCAGCCTAAGCCTTTAAATATCCTGCAACAAGAAAAGTCTTAGTAAAATTTTACGTTAATTAAAAGAGAAAGAAATTCAAACTGAAATATTCACATAAATCGGACAAATGTGCTGTCAAAATATTCAATAAAATATTAAGGATTGTTTGAAAATTTTGTAAAAACTGCCCCACCCTGTATATGCACATTTTGTAACTTTCGTTGACTATTTTAGACTTGAAGAATGTCGAAGCTTTCGACATTTAATTTGCAATAACATCTTAAAGTCAAATCGAATTTAAACTTTTTTATGACCGTACAAAGGGTAAGTCTAGTAACTTTAAATGGTTCAAATGCCGTACTTTTTATATGTTACTCAGATTTATACAAATGGACTTTATTTATTACGACAAAAATAATGCAAATCAAAAAATGCTTTGGGTTTAGAATATGAAGTTACATTTTCCTTTATGAATGCCGAATTACTGTCAGAAACTATCAAAGGAAGATAATCACCGTCGTACAGAACAAAGTGAAATCATCTTACAGTGTTCACAAAGACTGGCCTAAAATATTCAGCAATATCATTCAGATCAATGAAGCTGTTTCCCACTTGGAAGGTTTTGTAAACAGACACAACTGTCACTAATGGGCATAAGAGAACCTATAAGTGATAGATGAGAAAATGCAGCATCTCTGAAGATCATAGTGAAGAGTGGCAGTGGCATAACATTAAACAGGTTGTAGATCCGTTCCTTTATGAACACAGAAAGGTACTTAGACATGTTGAAGAATTACGTTTGGCCTGTAGTATCTCTAGGGATAATTTTCGACGACATGATTTTCCTGCAAGATGGGTAGCATCTTGCTTTACTCTGATTTTCCCTGACTGGCTTCATGTAAAGTTTCCTGAGTATTGGTTGGGTCGTTGTGACCTTCATGAGTAGTCAGCGCTGAGTCGAGGCATTACACCGTGGTAACTGTTCCCTCTGGAGGTGGTGAAGGAAGAAGTTTACTGTACCAACCACAAACTCTGTACCATCTGAAGAATCGCATACATCATGTTCTCGACAATGTACTACGGAAGTTCCTGTGGAAGTCGATCAAGCTAGTCTCAGTTGATTAGAGAAACGGAGCACAGCGCTAGTGGCTAATTGGAGTTTTAATTCTAGGCAAATACAGAGGAATAACTACAGTTATTACCTCCTTTCGACAGGTACTTACATTTTGCCCGCCTTGCGTAATCTTAACACTAAAAGCATTGTTCATAATTTTAAAAGAACCATAATCAAAGTTAAATGTGATTCCAATGAAATTTTTCTTGATGTTCATCTTAAAGTCTTTTCATTTCATATAGTCTCTGGAAACGCGCAACACATTAGAAGTATTATAATGTCACAATTTCTTTCAAACTTGTTAGTTTCCATTCTAAATCTCAGGCAAACGAGGAATACTTCTAATAAATTTACTTTTTATGTCTTGTTTTAGCTTCTCTTAAAGCGTTTATATGAAAATTTTTAGATCAATAAAATGTTGAAGTTACTATTACATATGCACTTTAGATGTGTACATTTTACTCTTCATTAGGTAAGAGGTAATATATATGTTAACACTTACACCTAAACTAATGTGTAATTTATTGCTGCAAACAGACTTGCACGCTGGTATAAACATGAGTAAAGAAATCTATTTCTGCACGAGCGCACCTAAAAGCGCAAAACATTCACACGTTCCAGACGTTAAAAATACATCAAATGGAAGGGACAGCAATGCATTTTATTCCGGACAGATTTTGAAAAAACAATGCGTAGAAGACTTGAAAATTCCGTTCCCTTGTCATTCCCCTTTCTGAAGCATCCTATACTTCATCGCCGGAGCAAAAAAGATTTTCCATTTCCAATCTTATACAGCACGCGGAAGTTCTTGATTTATATTCAGTATCAAATGCAAGTTAGTTTTTTCGCCGAAACGCACCGGCAACCACCTGAAGACGATGATTTTTGCGACAAGTGAATCGGTGGCAAATGGCGCATGCGCATCAAAAGCGCGAGCAGTCAGGCGCGATGCGCGAACTGCCGTAGATGATATTTTTTGAATAAAAAGTGTATCTCTGACTTCTCGCTGGCATTAAATTGAATTCCACAACCAGTGTATGGTTAACTTATTCACACGACAAAAATGAATTTTTTAAATTCTTTCCGGTGTTTATGAAATTTGTGCTTGCTAACAATTATAGCAGAGATGATTAAACAGTCGTTGCTAATACTACTAATAAAATTCTTATGGGCATAGTATATACGTATATTTTGTGTGGATTTAACTTATGTTGATATTGCGGGGTCTGATAGAGTAAACCTAAAATATTTAAATATTAAGGTCATCAACGAATGCTAAAAATATGAATGAATATCCATATTATATTTTAATTTCAGTTGCAACTGTTGAAGTAATTGAGTCTGTTAGCGTAGCAGTATTAAGAAAGTTTCGAAAAGCTGTTATCGTTACTGTTATGCTTAGAATTATGTAATTATTACTTTATGAACATGAAAATCTGTTGCAGTTATAACGTTTCCATATGCAATCAAAATTTGTCATAGACTACAAGTGAGCTTCGCAATACATCGAGAAAACCAATATAACTAAGATACAATACCCAAGATATTATATGAGGTCTTAGGCATACTATCCTTTCAGAAGCTACCAGTGCTTGCTTTCATAGTTTCAAGAAAATAAAAACAACGTTGTAAGGCTTGGTAAGAGGATTATGAAACCTGGGTTTTAAGCTCGAGCTGTAAGTATAAGCGTAATCAGACTTGACTTATATGCCACGATCATCTGCACAAATACGCAAAGTAATTCGATTGGATATATTTGTATTTGTGCAAAAGCATCCGTCATATTTCGCACGACGAATGATATAAGTACATGAGAGGAACTTGATGTTTCTAAACACATTTCAAAGGAATAGAATATCAAATGACGATCATGACATAAATATAAGTTCAAGAGCAGAGGAAAGAACTATGAAAAGGCCTACCTACAGGTTGTGTGTTCTTAGATTTAACTTTAGACCATTTTATAGACGCTAGTTTAATTATTTGCAGAGGTACGTAACAGTGTCCCATAATCCATATAAGACAGTATCTGACTGCCACTTTTACATTCGCTAAATATTTCTATAGACCGATGTTGTCGTAACAAAAATTGTACCATTACAAAAGTTCATTGACAGGCATCCATAGATATTTTGGAATGAGATGTACTACGTCACGCAAGTCTTACATAGATGTTCTCAATAAAACGCAAAAGTTGTGAAATAATATTTGCCTTTACTGACGATTTCAAGCATACTCTGCAGTACATCAAACTACATGTTTTATTCCCAGACGCGATATAAGACAATAAATGTAGTATAGTAAGAATCAAGAGTTACGAGATTAAGTAAAAGTTACTGAATACAAAAATATGTAATACATCTAAAATATTCTACAACTTGTACAACCTTTGCTAAATTTAAAAATCTGCCATTTCATTAGTGTTTAAATTTAAAA